ACGGCTCCTCCCAGGCCCCCTCAGCCAGCTGCCCCCATCCAGCAAGGTCTCTAGATGGCCCCTTGGCCTCTCAGCCAGGGCTCTGGCCTAGTCCCCTGCACGCCAGTGACTGGCCAGCACCCCTCCGCCTCGCCTCCTGCCCCGTGGCCTGGTTGCTTTCCACCCTCCTCTCCTCAGCCTCCCTCTCTGCACATCACCTCCCCCTACCTCCCGTCTGACTGACCCTTCTCCATTCATCCCCCATCGCCAGCCACCAGTCCCGGGACGCAGGCACCCCCAGATCCTCCCATGAATTCTCCTTCCTCCGTCTGTCATGCGCCTCATTCCTACCACGCCATGAAGCACGGGCTTCATTCACCCACTGCCCCGGGAGACCCGGCCGCCCCCGGCACCTCGCCAATCACTGGGATGGCGCACGTATCCCCTGGCCCGGAAACGCTTACTTCTGAGCAGCCTAAGGGTGTCCCTGAGCTTTGCTTTGGAGTGATCTCGCTCGGTCTCCCTCACTGCTCGCGCACGCGTGCACACACGCACACGCACACTTTGTTGGCATCTCACAGACGCACGCACACGCACACACACACACACACTCTCTCTCTCTCTCTCTCTCTCTCTCTCTTACTTCATTGGCTTCACACACACCCCCAAATCCTCCACTTCATTGGCATCTCACACACACACACACACACACACACACACACACACACTCCACTTCATTGGCATCTGTGACATAGTGTTGGTACCTTGCTGGTTGCTATGCTGGGCAGTGGGCTGTGAGTGACCTCCACTGGCTGCTGGCTGCAGCACGGCCCAGCAGGGCAGGGGATGAGTCATTATGCAAGGGGGCTTCGAACCTGTCTGACCAGTATCTCCCAGGGAGCGGAACAATGGGAAGAAGGGGAGTGGAGCCCTGGCTGGGGGCAGGGCTGGAAGTGAGGGAGGGTATGTCTACACTACAAAGTTAATTCGAACTAACGGCGCTACACATGAAAACCGCTAGTTCAAACTTAATTCGAACTAGCGGTGCGCTTAATTCGAACTAGGTAAACCTCATGCCACGAGGACTAACGCCTAGTTCGAATTAAGTAGTTCGAATTAAGGGCTGTGTAGCCACTTAATTCGAACTAGTGGGAGGCTAGCCCTCCCCAGCTTTCCCTGGTGGCCACTCTGGGCACAACCAGGGAAACTCTTCTGCCCCCCTCCCGACCACGGAGTCCTTAAAGGGGCATGGTCTGGCTACAGTGCCCATGCCAGGTGCAAGCCTGCCAGCACCCAGCCAGCAGACCCTGCACCTGGCACGGCATGGGCCAGCCACCCGCTGCCACCCAGCCCCTGCCTCTTTCTGGGACCACAAGAGGCGGGCGCCCGCCTGGGCCCGTG